GGGGGAGGGGGGGGGAGGGGAGGAGAAGCCGGTGAAATTATCTTGACTGTCTATCATTAAAGCCATGTTTACAATTCGCCCCCAAATTCTAGAGTACAAGGGTAACAGATTTGATGTGCAGTATGAACGGGACTTAGTATACAGGTAAAAGCCCTAGAAATTCGTGCTCTCGATGAAAAATATTGCCCCATCGCAAACGTTAAGTATCGAGTAGACGACCCACCTGTGGTATTGTCAACTTGTCTCACACCTGTCACAATTCCTGCACTGTCCACACAACACTTGGCACAGGGAATTAACGTAAAAAATCACTTGTTGTCGCTTTAAATAGATAGGTGTCCACTTACCTGCGTATACTACAGTCTGAGCTCTTACCGAGCGTGCTGACGTCAAGTGGTCATAATGGTCATCGAGCCCTTACTTACCCGTCACTTGTCCAAATTCAGTCCCACACTGTTCAGTCCCCACACTCGCTGCCTCTGCGGTGTTATTGATCCTAAACGTGATCACGGTGACCTGTTTATCAAAGTGCGGTCGTACCCAAGGGCGTCGTGCATAACGTGTTTATTTTCCCTCAGCGCTGGTGACATAATTTCTTTCATTTTCATTCTGACCTGGAAATGAGGATTAAGGCACGGGCTCGTTCAACGTTAAAATTACTTGACTTCAGGGCAGAAGCCGCCAAATAATTCCCCGTGGACGACCGTACTAACATATACCTGTACAACTGCATGAACAAAATAATTTCGGTGAAACATTTCCTGTACCCATGTACAGCAGACACGGTGAAATAAACCTTGATGGCAAAAAACTTGACAAGGTCCAGGTGCGGATTATTTGAAGGGTGGGGGGGGGGGGGGGTCCGGAACAACAGGCCGAAGCCGACCATCGCCCCCTTGGTGTGAGGCTCGGGGCCTGCTTAAGGGCCCCGAAAAAAAGTTTTTTTTTTGGGGGGGGAGGGCAAACTGTGGCCTTTTTTACGGTTTAAAACTATGATTCAGCTAGTCAAAATTCTAATTTCAAGAGGGAAATATTAGTGTGATATATTTTTCAGAAACCGAAGGGAGCTCAGGACTCCCCTTACCCCACTTTAAATACTGATGTCAAGCTGGCTACGGACCTGCCACGACCAACGGATTTTCTTACCGGTATCACTTCAACAGTTGTACCCCTAAATAAGTAAAGAAACCTCTGCACCCCAAGGCCCCTAGCTAGCTATGCCAGACATCACACACCGCACAGCACCTGTTCCTGGTCCTGAAAAATATGCTTTTGTCCACACCTTAGCCTGGTAATTGACACCAAAATTTACCCACACAGAGAGGGTCAGTTTGGTTGTACATGTACATAACTGCCATAACAATCGATAGCCCGTGAGCCATACCTATATGTATTTCCTCCCACGCAACGCCAGTCCGCGAACTTGGTGTTATCATCGTCTCAGTAGTAGTACATGTAGGCCTAGGTGATGCTCCTGCAAGTAAGCTTAAATATAAAATATAAATACATAATTTAAATATATTGAAAATACCGGAGAGGAGTTAAAAGTGCACAAGGTATTTTTATTATTACAGTACGTTCTCCTATTATTAGCTTTTAAGAAGAATGTACATTGATTTTCCAAAATGGGATATAAATGTATGTTGTTATTCCGTAACTGAGGAGAAAATAATAAATATGTTCAACTAAATAATTTTTTTTTGCTTTGAATTCATAATTTTGATTTATATTTATTCACTCATAAAGTATTCCGATTTAACAGATTGTACACGGAAATTTAATCAGTAAGAATATAATGCGATGCAGGTTATATTGGCTGTATTGTTGTAACATGTTTGACCTATTCTGACCCAGATTAAGGATTGGATAAAATAGGTCACTGATTGAACTCATGAATATGCAGATATAGGCCCAATTAAAAATGCGTACTCAGTACTGACATGTTTTCCCTACCCGTTATATCCCTGCTTCACTTAGTGCGGGTGTTTGTAAACGAATATCAATTTTCTGAGGCGAACATTTTTGGAAAGAATATTTGTATGTCGGCGACAAAATATTTACTGATATTTTTATTCACCTGCTTTCCCGCCAACATGTGACACAGAACAACATCCCCCACGTCACAGATTATGACCTGTTGTGAGGACACTTCGGGTTAAGAACCCACAATGCAATGCGAATCCATTGTTTAGGTGTGTACGTAGCTATGAGAAGATTATGTCGATAGCCAGGCACGCAGCCAGGGGTGTTCAGGAGAATGTCCGTTCTGCACCAACATTTGATCCACAATGTAGGTACCATGATTTTTCAGCCGTTATAACGAGCCAGAAATTTCGTTGTCATTTAAAGGCTAACTGAGGAAAAGCTTTCCCCGCAGCGGCGGTTTAACTCTATACTGGGTGGGGTCGTCTTCTGTGTACGTTTCCAGGTACATTTTTGTTGGCGTAATTTTCGAACTAATTATTGTTTTTCGTGAAATTTCATGAATTCATAACTTTTTTGGTCGCTTTTAAGAGATATGTTTGTAGATTCGAAGTCGTTTATTGTAATCGTTCTACACGCCCCTACGAAAAAAGTCACCCCTAATGCAATGCCTAAAGTGATACAAAAGCCATATTTTTGTACTATGTACAATATATTCTGGATTGGAGGACGCACCTGTCGCATCTGTGCCTGTAGTCAAAAAGTTCTGTAACGTTTACACAGTGATGGAGTTTCACATACGATGCAAAGGTAACATGATATCATTTTGTTTGCAGGGTTAGCCATCATTTATATAAGGATTGAGCTGGTCATTGGGGGGTCTGGATCTAGTTTGCATATAGGGTATAACCGGCCTACACCATAGTAGCCAATACACCCTATACATGCCTTATGTGGGGTGCGTCATTGGGGGGGGGGGGGGGGGGGGAGGGTTAGATTTAGATATGGTTCGCATATAACCAGCCTACAGTTACATTGGCTGTACGTGGTGTAGCATTGTCATGCTGAAAACAGAAATGGGTGATCATGGTCCCATAAGTGAATACACGGGCGGGAAAAGCGTGGAAATTTTTCTCAACCCAGTGATAGCTAAATTAGAGGGCGTGCCACGTGACTGGATGTCATTTCCCTTTATTTAATAAGTCATTGATGCGGTCGCTGCGAAGAAAAACACTTTTAAGCATATAAAAGGGATAACAACCCTACAGTTACATTGGCTGTACGTGGTGTAGCATTGTCATGCTGAAAACAGAAATGGGTGATCATGGTCCCATAAGATATTTTCTCTACGTAATTCGGTAAGTTTCCTTTCCAATACTTGGATGCATGGGTCTGTGATAAAAGTTCCCGTTGACCACTGCCAGCTCGCCTACACCATAGTAGCCAATAAACCCTATGCGTGACTTCTGTGGGGTGCGTCCTAACAATCAGAGGCAGAAAATTGGAAAGTTACTTCTTACCAGTTGTTCTCCAAACTCTTACGCGTCCATAAATTCTAAACGCTTCACCTGCTTTGGTCTGAGAACAGTCTCAATGCCCAGTTAAATGCTGGTGGCCATGCCAGAGTTCTGGTAATACATCTGAGAACAGTCTCAATGCCCAGTTAAATGCTGGTGTCCATGCCAGAGTTCTGGTAATACATCTGATTCCATGTGGACGGTTCCTGGCAGTGGTCACTAAAATCGCATTAACGTCCCTAGAATGATGAAAGGCAATTGCGTGTGACGTGACTGAGGTACAGTGTACAAGCATA